CGACTGGAATGGAGTTTGCGACTGCTTAGGAAAGTCCACACATTGCCATTACATTGTATATGTATGTATTATCACTATCCTGAGTCACACTGACAGACTGACACTAGTGGCAGTGGCTGAAGGAGGTTCTGAGTAGACTACCGTACCTGACAAACACTCCCAATGCAGCGAGAGATGCAATGCACACTCCGGCAACATGCCCTTGCATTGGCAGGGTAGACATCGGTCACTGCTTTCGACATCGGGAGTCGCGTGGATTACAAAACATCATTATACACAGTCACGGAGAAGAAAGACTTGGCTGCATCGTTGCTGCTAGAGAACTGTACATCATGAAACAAAATTAATAGTTTATAGAGTATGGCAGTCTCGTGTTATCCAACACCACCCGCACACAGAAGGACCAATTAGAACGCGTTCAGCGACGAGCAGCCCGTGTCTGCTTGCGGATGTCCCTCTTTGCACCAGTCCACCATATGCACAGCTCACTTTTTCACCATCTCCAACTTCCCACATTAATCTCCTGGCAACTCTCAGGACAGGTTACTCTTGCCCGCAAGATCAAGTGCATCCGCGCTCCCCTTCGCCTACAACAGCCTCACCTTGCTCGACCAATTACCAGTCAGGTAATTGTCCCATCTAGAACATCTCACTCTGATTGGTCACCTGTCTCGGGTTGTCATGGAAGCGTCGGTCGCGCACTCCCGATGAAAAGAAGTGCTGGGCGAGCATTACCATTAAATAATTATGACTGTACATGTACATGTATGGTATTATACATGTACAACCCAATACATGTACAATACTAGCAAGAGTACATAACGGGGGGTTATGTACTCTTGATACTAGGTACAATACTAGTACAATACTATTACTAGTACAATACATGTACAATACTAGTACATGTACATGTATGTATTACTATTACTTAGTATTTAATAGATAAACCTTGTCATAGTTCACACATGTTGTTAGTTTCCGAACACAGTGCCCTCCACCTTGTTTCATGCTGTCAAATTAACAACATGTACATGTATGTAGAGGATGCACGATAGCAATGGCGATGGATTCCTTTGCAAATTGGCCAAGTTTGAGGGAGTAGGCGGAGAATTTCGGAAATCAGCGGGGATTGAGGTACAATGTATGTAGTGGATAATGTATGTATATTCGAATATGGTAGTAGGGGCGAGGCATCCTGCAGCTTGTTTAAAACAATCAAAGAGGTGAGCACACATGCTCATTCCCTGGGCACTGCAAATTCACAACTCATTTCATTTCACAGAATCATTTTCAACGTGCGACATGAAGTTTTGAGTCGCACTTCACGATTAGACAAGGGGAAGTAACCATGTAGGGGCGTTAGCCCGCCTTTCGGCACCGAGAGTTACAGCTCGCTCGACTTGACTCTACTGAGTGCAGACTCTGCAGAGGACCCACACCTTGATTCAGTGATCTGCGTCGTGGGGAATTTGCAATCAGATGGGTCTCGGGATCAGCGGCAGGACCAAGCACCAAATACAAAAAATTAAGTAGAGCAGAAAAAAGAAAATGAGCAAGTAGCACGGTACGGTGTGATGACTTTTAAGGAAACAGAAATGAATAAGATGGCGAGTTGCCTGGTGTTGCATATGTGGTACAGAGACTCGGAGAGAGAGACTCGGAGAGAGGGACTCGGAGAGAGAGAGAGAGAGTTACATTTATATAGACAGGTAAGTCTAACAAATGAGGAGCATGCTATGTTTCTTTGATCTAAGCAAGGCCTTCGACACAGTATGGACACGCGGGCTCCTATACAAGCTGTCGCGCCATGGAATCCATGGTACTTGCTTCACGTGGCTCAGTACTTACCTGACGGGCAGACAGCAAAGGGTGCGTGTCGGCTCTGCTCTGTCTGCCAAAGGGCATGTACGGTCTGGAGTTCCTCAGGGATCAATCCTGGGGCCTCTCCTCTTTCTTATGTATGTAAACGACCTGGCAGAAATGGAACACACATCACTATATGCTGATGATACAGCACTACTTCTGACAGCACCCACTCTCCCCGAGGCTAGTGCCAAGTTACAGTCCAACATAGATGGCGTTATTCATTGGATGGAAAAATGGAAATTGCAGCCCAACTCTTCGAAAACTGCTGTAATGTGTATCCCCCCAGTTGTTCCTGTGACCTATCTTCATTAGTAACCAGTCCATTCACCTTTCCAGGCACCACAACCCCGCTCTGCATCGTTGAAAAACACAAGCATCTTGGCGTCATTATTGACCAACACTTAACCTGGAAATCCGGCCAGATCGAAAATTTAGACAGCCGTGTTAGCTCAGTAATGGGATTTCTCTCGTCACACATCACCCACCTCCACACCGACTGTCGCCATGTTATCTACACATCTTACATTCTGCCTATTTTTGATTACTGCTGCATAATTTGGGCTGGCATTTCTAAAACACTGATTGCTCGACTCGAAGTTATGCATAGGCGTCTTTTGAAAATATTATTTCGGCTTCCTCGCCTGACTCCAAGCGCAGACTTATACCGCCTTGCTTCTGCTGTGCAGCTCTCGGTCCGCGTGCGTTTTTTGGCATGCCAGACAATTCATAAAATTAAGCTGGGCATTGCTCCTCTTCATGCTCTCTCCTGCCTAAGCTGGTTTGCTCAATCTCAAGACATGCGCACCAGAAACTCTCTCCGCTTCCCTATTGCGCGGTCTGCCTCTATGCAAACATCTCCTCTCTTCCTTGCTTACCGCCATTGGTCTCTCCTCCCACAACATCTAAAATCCTGCCAATGTTACAATACATTCACACAGCTACTGCAGAATGCAACATACTAGTTGATATCCAGCCCTGCCCTAGCTTCTCCTGCTTTTCAGTTCTCCTTTCATTCTTTTTCTTTCTCCCCTCTAGCTCTATTACCGCCATGGCTGGCTATCGCCCACATCACCATTTCATTGGCTAGTGCCACGTGATTGTGAATAAATAAATAAATAAAATAATAAATAGGACTAAGACCTCTACAACAGGGGTTTTACGCCTGAAAGCAGGTGCATGATTTAACAAGCAGGTTGTCAGTCTAGGTTTTATGCGCAGATGGAGAAAAAATGCGCAGAATTTTTGTAATGAGATGAAAAGCAGAAATAATAAGAAAAGATGAAATGAAAGCCTGCTCACAACCCCGCCCAGCCTTGCGAACTGGGTATGGTGGATTAAGAACCCGGTTCAACGCTCGAGCAAGCACTCTTCACTCAAGGTGTTCACAGCAACTGATAGGAACTCATATGGGGAAATTATAGAAAAGAAGAGAGAGAGAGAGAGAGAGAGAGAGAGAGAGAGAGAGAGAGAGAGAGAGAGAGAGAGAGAGAGAGAGAGAGAGAGAGAGAGAGAGAGAGAGAGAGAGAGAGGGAGAGAGGGAGGGAGAGAGAGAGGGAGGGAGAGAGAGAGAGAGAGAGAGAGATCTCCAGTACTGACACACTATCACCTGTTGGGAATTCCCTAGTAAAATAAGAATAAAAATAAAAAATTAATAATTACAGAGCAGCCATTATGCACTACGACACATGAGAACATACGCAATTACATTGAGAAAATCACATACATACCGAAACACCAATTCACCTATCAACCTGTCCCTTCACAGCCAGTAAACTGTAACACTACTAGTAGTAGTCGAAATTGCAAGCATGCGTAACCAGGTAACCACGAGTAGAGAAAGCCCCAGCAGAAGACGTAGATTGTCTTCCGTTCTTTGACTGTCGGCGACGTGTCATTTCGGTTTTTCCCCTTCTGAATCTTGGCAGCGTGGAGATTTTTCAAAAGATCAAGACTACACTACTATACTACAGTGCTAGTGTCTGATTTGTTGCTTGAGCTTTGACTTTAGTTTGGGCAGGACTAGACTGAGGTGCTCCACTTTCGGCCGATCCGTTGCTGTGGCTAACTCACCCCAGACCTGAAGCTGCTATCACTCGTATGAGATTTCCTGATGCATGTACATGTAGTAGTGAAGGTTTTGACGTTGTCCTTCAAGTTCAGCTTGATTATTAAAGGGGAAGTATACCCTAAAATCAAATTTTCACCAGTTGTAGTCTTCGGGGTGCTGAGTCGAATGGTCTTGGTCCGAGGAAGCTGAGACGCTCCCTTCCTACTTGAATCCCAATCGAACTCGCGCACTTCCACCGAAACTGGGTGACTGCGCCCTACTAGATGGGGATTTGTATGCAAAATGTCACTAAAAGCGCCATTTCGTTCTTATAAAAGCACGGATGACCGCGATTGGCCCATATGTTGTAGTCTTTTGGACGCTGAGTCGACTGGTTTTGGTCCGAAAAGGCTGCGATGCAGCGTTCCTCCTTTATTCCCAATCGAACATGGTTGAACAAGCGGTCACGTGCTCCTGCGTACACCAGTCAGCTGGTCACCGTGCCAGCTGCAGGGTACAACTTACTACTACTAGCCTGTTTGACCTTTTTTGGGTGCAGTCCTGTCACTCGAGTTGAACTCGAGTTGAACCTTGGTGTGAAAGTTGTCGCCTGCTGGCGCGGTGACCAGGTGATTTGGGCACCCAGGAGCACGTGACCGCTTGTTCAACCATGTTCGATTGGGAATAAAGGAGGAACGCTGCATCGCAGCCTTTTCGGACCAAAACCAGTCGACTCAGCGTCCAAAAGACTACAACATATGGGCCAATCGCGGTCATCCGTGCTTTTATAAGAACGAAATGGCGCTTTTAGTGACATTTTGCATACAAATCCCCATCTAGTAGGGCACAGTCACCCATTTTCGGTGGAAGTGCGCGAGTTCGATTGGGATTCAAGTAGGAAGGGAGCGTCGCAGCTTTCTCGGACCAAGACTGCAAGAGTTAGACCATTCGACTCAGCACCCAGAAGACTACAACTGGTGAAAATTTGATTTTAGGGTATACTTCCCCTTTAATTTTACTTGACCATCGATTGTAGACTACCTGAGACTGTACGACTCGTAGACCTGAGCGTAGACTTCCCCATTGACATTGGGCATTATTGTATGTACGAAATTCTCGATCTGGTCATTTTCAAAAGTGATTCATTCTTATTCTGAGGTCAGTGAGGACTGTACTACGTGTACTTCAGTTCAGTGTAGAGAAATACTTTTATCACCGTCCCATTGCACAGGTCGCTGCTGCAGATATGGTGTGGATATTGCGCTCAATGCTGTTGTCGTGAAGTGCCAGGAAACACCGTTCACTGTCGTTTAAATTTATGAACAGTGGGGGCCACATTTGTGCAACGTACATTCAATACGTTGTTGCGCGGGTTTCCTACCTGTTGTGTGCTGTACTACGTCAAGAAGACACGGGTCAGCTTAGAAAACATTGCTTGTGGCATTTAAAACACTGTGTGTCTTGTATACACACAGGCTTAGAGTTTGCCAGTGGGTTTGAGTTGTAGCATGGCTTTTGGGCAAGATCGGAAGCAGAGCTACATGCGGTATGTCAGCTGTTTCGGGTGTCCGATGCTGGATTTGGTTGCGCCCGTTGATGAGGCGTTTCTGCAGAAGTACGAACTAACAGCAGATGGCAACGTGATGGTGGACGCAGACCGGGCACGTGTGTTTGACGGCGTGAAGGCGTTGGATGGCGTGAGCAAAGTTGTCGGAGGTGCGGCGCAAAACACTGCTCGTGTGTGCCAGTGGGCTTTGAAGTCACTGACCTGCTCTTCCCCGCTTGGCAGCCGCAGCTCAACAGTGAACAGCGATAGCGGTGTCATAGCAGCACAGTGTGTATCCGTGGGTTGTGTTGGCGATGATGAGAATGGACGTCAGATTGCCAGCGGTACGGAGCGGGATGGGGTGCGAGTGGCGTACGCTGTACATGCCACGCTGTCAACGGGTGTATGCGCGGCACTCATCACCGGCGAGACACGCAGTCTAGTCAGCAACTATGGTGCATGGATGCAGTACCCAGGAGAGCATCTCGACTCGATCTGGAACGATATTGTGGAGCAGTCGCACATTATTTACGCCAGTGGATACTTTGTACAATCGTGCGAAGAGGCTGCTCGTCGTCTGTGCCGCCATGTTGATTGTCATGGCGACACTGTCATGCTCTGCGTGAACCTATCGGCAGAGTACGTGTGCTTGGAGAGTTCCTGTGCGCTACTCTCCGTAATACAATCCGCCAGTGTGGTGTTTGGGAATTACGACGAAGCATGTGTACTGGCCAAAACGTGTAACTTCTGGGAAGAGGGTGATGACATTGAGTCGCTTGCCTGTAAACTTGCTAACGTCCAACCTCACTCGACAGATAGAGCCTGTGTGTGCTCCGATGGCAGTGATTCGAAGCGCACAGCCGATCGGACGATAGTCCTGACTCAAGGTCAGAAACCGGTCGTTGTGTGTAGTAGAGCAGGTAGGGCAACCTCCACTGTTCATAGCTTTCCTGTGGCCACTGTGGACAAGCTAGTGGATACCAACGGCGCTGGCGACGCATTTGTCGCCGGCTACTTGTGTGGCCTAGTGTACAATATGCCGTCTAGCAAGTGTGTGTCGCTGGCCACTGAATGTGCGAGGTACATTGTGCAGGAGGTGGGATGCACCATACCTGACAGGCAACTGGAGTTTGCACTGTGACGACGAGTGTGCCGGCTTCGCGAGAATCTGCAAATACTTGCCTCTTGCCTTAGTGGCTCTGCATCACCTAGACCATGTCCTGGGTTAACCTGGCTTATCGTGTTTGTTTACACGCGTACACCTGGGTGTATCTTACTCCCTAGCCTGGGTGTATCTTACACCCTAGCCTGGGTGTATCTTACACCCTAGCCTGGGTTTATGCTGAACACTGTACTAGTGAATGTAGGCATGGTGATGGTAGGCATGGTGATGGTAGGCACGGTGATGGTAGGCATGGTGATGGTAGGCATGGTGATGGTATGCCATGTAGTTTATACTATCTACCGCAGCACATGTTAAACTACTTCCGAGAAGTGAACATTAGTAATTTATTGACATGACGTGTGCTCCGTCTCCAGTTGGCATGATTCTATCTCATCTTCTCAAATTTTAATAGTCCTGTTTTCGTAGAAAGGTTTCAGTTTTTGGTTCACTTGTGGCAGGTCCACGTGCGGGTAGAGTCTGTTGCTCTGTTTGTTTGTTTGCGTTTTTTCTGTGGTGTGATTTTGCTCTGTACTGCAATGTGTGTCACAGCACCTCCGCAATGCCTCAGAGGATTTGTTCTCGATACCCCAGAGTCCAATACCTGTTCATGCATGCACCTGTCCACTGGGGAAAGGTTTTGTCTGCAACAGTACCCTGTGGATAAAGGATGGTACACGTATGGTACACGTATGCCTACTATGATGGTCAATATCTGACAATCTACATGCACGAACAGTCGAACACACATACACACGCTCGTGCACACACATGCACACACACACACACACACACACACACACACACACACACACACACACACACACACACACACACACTTGTACTTGTACTTGTTGCTCACTGCCAAAACTGGTCACGTGGGTCTCCCCGGGAGAGGGGAGAGAGACTCAAAAGGAATCTTGGAAAGATGACTCATTGGCTATTGAACCGCCCAATGGCCGACACCCCCTGAAATCCCCAAAACTAAGGGTGGACTTGAAAATGATCCCACTTATGCAAGTTATGGGCTCACCACACCTCAGCAAGTGGGTGAGGACAAGGTGCAGAAAAAGGATTGACGGCATCAGGGTATCCGTCCTGGGATCCAACTGCAGGTACCCCTGCCCCCAGTGAAGATAATACTTGCTACTAGTGTGGGTGGCTAAATCAGAGTGGATCTGATATGCTTCACTAGCACCATTGATTACTTTTAAAAGAGTTAATCTAGCCAGAAGCAGTCCATGGTTAACAGGTATGTATACTTCAAATAGAAAGTATATGAGCCCTGGAACCAACAAAGGTGGCAGATACACAATACACCTTCAAGCAGCCGAGCCCGTTGGCAACAGACCCAACACTATCTGGCATATGTGTACCCACCAACCGGACTAGCTGGCACACACCCACACATACACACACACACACACACAGGAGAGGACCAGTTGTTTGGCTGTATATTGCATTGCCGGTATGGCTAGATCTAAAATGACCATGCCAAATTCTACAAATTGCTTTGCACTGTAGAGGGTCTACTACATTTTTAAATCACTCTCTACCAAAGCGGCAGGGCCTGCCGGGTTGTGTAAATAGAAGAAGAAATCACATGGAAACGAGTTATGAAGCAACTTTCCACGACTGTAACAAGATAATAAGTAGTCTGAACGTGCGATAACAGGGCACAAAACTGACAGGCTACTGAGACAATCAACGACCTATTTTACAGTAAAACTGACTCATTATCCGAGTTCAATTTTACATGTAGATTGTGTGGTTTATTCTTTGCAGGTTTAATTGACCATGTCATTGTTCTGCTCTTGCTTCTACTGCCTAGCACCGGTACAAGTGCCTCTCAATGAGACTAGCCATAGCTAGTACTAGTAGTAGTGATGATTATAGACTACAGTGCAGGTAATACTAGTAGTACATGTTTCTTCTGTTCAGTATCATCTCATCTCATCGACCTTTGCGTTTCTAGTCATTCTATGCATGCTTTATGGACGGAATAAATTCCAACAGCGCTGTAGTTTGTGTAAATCAGCTGAGCAGTCTGCACAGCTAGCTAGGTCAGTAGGTGTACAAACATGCACCTGTATGTATGCCTATGCCTGGAACATAACAGTTAGAAAACTAAGAACAGACATTCTGCAGCAGGAGTGCATGTGAACGGAGTCAAACCGGTGGCGGAGGCTCAGCACCTGATCACATTATGTTGTTTATACCGTTGTTTTCTCGAGATCATTGCTCATTGTTGGCATCAGTGTTGGAATGTGTCCCTAACCTCGTGTCAAATAAACAAAATTATTTACAAGTAATAATGACGTCATTGAATTCGTGAAAATTGCCCAAAGCCAGTTACACCAAGTCACCGTCCTGCAATAATCAATCCAAACAGCTGCAACGGCTAATCTCACTGTAACATACATGTACCTGTACCTGTATCTGAATTTAAATGTTTTGTCGTGTTCTCGCGTCATGCGCTGCACGCACTACTGTAAGTGCCACGGTTGCGACTGGTGCATTTTGTTTTCAAATCCAATCCACATACACTAAGGTAAATAGTAGCGTGGTAGTCAGCAGTGGAATGCCACGGTGGCCGGCATCAGCTATGTGTGAAAACGCATGTTGACCAACACAACACACATTGCAGCCATCAGGTCTGTCATCGCTAGAGTCATGTCTCAGCATATTACTCCACTGCGTGCACTTGCAGGTCGCGGCCGGCGGATTCAGTTTCCTCCGTCTGGCCAGTGTCATGCTATTTTTGCATTCTAACGTACAGATCTGGTAGAATTGTCCCCGTGATTCCAGTGGCTGTGGCCCTGACTCAGGCCAATCAACAGCAGTACCCATTTGGACAATGGGCGTTGATCGTCCGCTGCTTCACAGTACTGGGTCCAAACTGGACAGTGAGCGCATGGCAGTTGTTTTCTCTGCCTGCAACACGTCACTCATTATTATTTCAAAGTAAGCGTGTCCACACTTGGGCCACATCACAACCTCCTCCTGCATGCTACACAGTCAACGGTGGACTGACAGACGTGTAAACAAAGCCAGCTATCAGCGACCACTTGTGAACTCAGGATGTCAAATCCAACACAGTGCTTAGCCTGCCACTAACACTGCCACTGCCACTGGCTCTCGCCAGTTATCTGCTTGATGTTGTCAAAACGGCATGGCACATCATCGGCAGTCACGGTGAGCATTGAACCCTGCTCTGTGGTTATGCTTGTCAGCTGTCACAACTTCTTGAGCACCTCCCCAATGACTGCCACACTGCTGACATACAGCAATCTCCATGGCCATGGGCGGTTCACGTTGGCGTAAACGCTCCGCCATCAGCCGCCAACTCGTCCCATGATGACTCTCTCGACCGTGACTATGACTGATGCATGGGATGTGCACGGATACACATGTGCGTGTACACATACAACCCTGCGATTACCAGCGACGTCAGTTACGCAATGTAACATGTACATAGGCCTGCCTAGTACGGCTGGATTGGTGGGCCGGACAGTTTGCAATATGTCATGACTGACGTCAGCCAGTCACTGATATCGAGCTACACTACAGCATGAACACAGGTACGGGTAGCGTGCTTGTGAGCCGTAGTCTGGTTTTGCGTTTGGCATCATACGGAAATCCAGCCTCCCTGCCGTAGATCTACAGTGTACGAGTACCGGTATGCATTCGCCGCATGTATGGCCATTGTCACTGGCCACATACTCCATAGCGACACAACCGCTCCACGACTTGACGGTCCTACCCACTGCTACAGTCTAGATCTTGGAGACGGTTGTACGGGCCACCCTTCAACGAATCAGGCCGGTGTCAGCTGGCTCTGTTTTTGAAGTTTTCCACTTGAACACTGAACTGCGGGCAGTGCCGGTGTAACGTAAATCCTGCCAGACAAGGCTGTGCCGGCCAGCACTGGTGAAGTCGCTCAGTTCCGTTGTTGCATCTTGCACTTTATTCTCCCATTGAGGGCAGACTGTTGGTGGTAGACGAGTGAAGAGCTGTTTCGGCAGTCTTCTCAGTCTGGTTGGACGGACGGGGAAGGTCCTGGTGCCTCTCACAAGATGTGGTAGTTGCGATTCGCACAGCCAGTTCACACGAATCTTATCACTTCAGTCCTGTCTGGAGGAGCCAGCGAGTTTCTCACTTCATCACTTTCCACATCGCAGGGATTCTCGGCCAGGGAGGCAGGCATGGCTAGCATTACGCCTAGCTCTTCGCAGCAACCTCCTTCGCTGGCAAATCTCCCAGCGCACGCCGCAGCCAGTCGCGGAGACTTGACCGAGCTGAAGCGCTTGTACAGCGATAACCGGTACCGTCCAACTCGAAGCGATGCTGCGACCGGTGAGACGCCGATGCACGCCGCGGCGAGGTCGAAGCGACTGGAAACTCTGCAGTTCCTGTTGCAGGACAGCGGCGTCGACCCACAGACTCGCGCCAAAAATGGAGAAACGGCCGCACACATAGCTGCCCTGGAGGGTTGGGTAGAAGGCCTTGACGCTTTGTGTTCATTCGACGAGCGACGACGAATTCTCATCATTACGGACCAAGATTTGCAAGGCCTTACACCGCTACACATCGCCATTATTCGCTGCAAGGAACCCCTCGTACAATGGATACTGGAGCATTTTTCCGCCGAACAGCTCAAGCTGAAGCAACGTGGATCCTTAGCGGTGCACTTCGCTGCGGCTTCAGGTAGGGACTCGGAGAAAGTCATTGCCTAAAATTATACTAATTTGTAGGTGTAATGCGGTGATATGCCCTGTCATCACTGCCCTCGAGCGTCCATTGTGTTTCGAATGCAAACTTGACCGCTAAGTTGGCAGTTAGAATAAAGGGCAAGTAACGTTTTTGCCGTCGTCCTGGGTTCTGGCCAGGGAGTACACAAGTATTTTACTACTCCCTGGTTCTGGCTACATTCTAAAATTTTCTGAAAGGCTTCAAAGCACATAAATTTCACACTCGCTCCTTGTTCACCACCCCTAGACCCTGGCCCTAGAAATGAAAATTCATGGGAGAAATGTGAGCAGTAGGCCTTGCAGTTGCAGTTGGACATCAAGATCAACACAATGCATGCTACAGTCATCACTTGTACTGTTGTAGCAAAGAAGACAGCAGGATCAGTATGAATTATCAGATGTTTTGTAGAGGATCAGTATGAATTATCAGATGTTTTGTACAGGATCGGTATGAATTATCTGGTGTTTTGTACAGGATCGGTATGAATTATCTGGTGTTTTGTACAGGATCTGTATGAATTATCAGATGTTTTGTACTGGATTGGTATGAATTATCTTAATGCAGAATGCCAACCCAGGGCGAGTTTCGTGCAAGCAAACAGAAAAACAGGGAACTCCCCCCCCCCCACCAAACCAAAAATGGAGCGGGGGAGCATGGCCAGATGGTCTGGGTGGCTCCAGCAGCTCTATGAGCGTAAGGTAAACTGTATTTTGATGATGACCGGAGTGCACTGTGTATTCTTCTGTGGTCCGCTTCACACCCGCAGGCAATCTGATAATCCTGAAGATGTTAGTACGCCACGCAGGACAAGACTGTGTACACGTACAGGATGAGAACAGTAAGTCCAGTCATGTGCATCATGTACAGTAGTGTATGTAGTACAATGTAGTGTATGTAGTCCAGTCATGTGCATCATGTACATGTAGTACAATGTAGTACAATGAAGTATGACTGTGCTAGCCGGTGTCCTCTACATGTATGCTGCTGCTGGTAAATACAGTGAAACAGCTGTGTAAGACGACCGCTGCTCGTGGGACCTTCAAAACGTGGTCTCTGTAACCAGGTGGTCGCCTCATCCAGGGTCATTTGACTGGAAATAGCATCCCTTGGTCCTGGCTGCAGTGGTCTTCTAGGGCAGGTGGTCACCTTATCCGAGTGATCTCCTTGACCGGAGTTACTGTACAATCATGTACTACTCCGTGTTGTGAGCAGCAGTAACATACTCTACTCCGTGCTGTGAGCAGCAGTAACATACCCTGCACAGTGTACTCTACAATACTACTACTACTACTACCGGTATGCTGTCTGGTGAGTGTTTTACACGAAACTGCGGGTAACGGCGGAAAAGGGATTTGTTTGCTTCATTGCTGTGTGATCATTGTACAATACTACTACGTGTATGTTGCTGGCGGTGGTCGGGTACTGGTGATGCTGCTGGTGGTTGGGTACTGGTGATGCTGGCGGTGGTCGGGTACTGGTGATGCTGCTGGCGGTGGTCGGGTACTGGTGATGCTGCTGGCGGTGGTGGCATCATGTGAAGCACAGTTGCTCGAATAGAGCAGATCTGTACTGATCGACTCAGCGGCACAGACTGGTGTCCACATTGCTAGCTAGGGCTGTGTAGTTGCTAGAGTTGTTATACTTACATGCTACCCGCTATCACCCGCACCAGACCACACCAGACCACACCAGACCACAGCAGACCACACCAGACCACACCAGACCACACCAGACCACACCAGACCACACCAGACCACAGCAGACCACACCAGACCACACCAGACCACAGCAGACCACACCAGACCACACCAGACCACAGCAGACCACACCAGACCACAGCAGACCACACCAGACCACAGCAGACCACACCAGACCACAGCAGAACACACCAGACCACAGCAGAACACACCAGACCACAGCAGAACACACCAGACCACAGCAGAACACCCGTACGTATAACATAATAAACGCCAATTGTCCCACGTGTATAATGCAGACACATGGCTCGGTCCTCTGCCGGATTGTCCTGCTAAAGGTGGGATGGGTGGGGGACAGTCTGTGCTCATGGAGCTGGCTGGATTTCACTTTGGTCACCCCGGCCTCTGTGATTGTTGTTTAGCCATTAATCATGCCAACAGTATTATTTACATAACACTAGCTCTAGAGTGTACAGGACTGCAAGTCCAGTCTACAGTGGTCGATGGGGTGTACAACAGCAGAACTTCACCTCACGTGACTAACCCATACTTGCCAACCCTACCGGAATTTCCGGGAAAATCAAGGAAAACTCGCTTTCGTCCCGATGTGCCGGAAAATTTATAACATCTACCGAATTTTCGAAAAATGTCCGTCAACACCTTTTTGTTGATTTTCAGTATTTTGGACGCTCGCAGTGCTGTGATCAAAACGAAGGTCTAGCGAGCGAGAACTTTTGAGTTAGCGCACGAAAAGTACTTTTTTCCCGTACATGCTGTACTATTTGCGATTGTTTTGTGGTCATGGTGACGTCACTATGATGCCATATACAATATTTTGCACAATTATGAAAGGAATTTTGGTGGACACACCCATTCCCATCGCGCTGCACATGCGAACCAGTTCCGTTATTTTGACAACATTTCGGCACTTGGCCATCGTCAGGTAATAACAATGAATACTGTGGAAGCCACACAAGAGCAGTATAATTACGCAGAGTGTAGCGCCAAAAAAGATGCTTATTATGTCACCTTGTTTGCAGAAGGGGGGGGGGCAGAGAGAGAGAGAGGTGCAACTAGCACATCACGGAGAAGAAGCAGCAGAAGGTAGCGCGCCATTGCATTGTGCTCTGTGAAGTGAGGGTGCGTGCCATGGCGTTACGCAGAGTGTAGGGCCAAAAAAGGGATGCGAGTTATGTCACCTCTATGCAGAGGGGGGGAGACAAGGTGCAACTGTGCACATCACGGAGAAGAAGCAGTAGAACTGTGCTCTGCGAAGTGAGGGTACATGCCAAATAATTATGGTGTTTATTCTAGCATATTACAGGAGGGGAGCACGGAGGCCCATGCGCCAATGCACTATGAGGTCAGTCACAGAATGTGTGAGAAAAGCAGACAACTGCGAAATCCCACACTTCCATGCCAAACTGTTACCACCAGGGACGCGACGAGGCATCAGGAACAGAATGGATTTGAGTGACCCGCCTCATACTATATTCAGTGATATTGAAAAAAGAAGAGTAGCAGCAGGGGAAGCTGAGAAAATTCACAATAAATCTCATCCGGTGCTTATGTTGACATGGGGCTTAGCATCACGAATCTCGATCGCCTCGCGCAGTTTGCGACCCGAATTCCTTTCAGAGATGAATCCTTTCAGAGATGAAGCTGCAGGAAGCCTCAGCCCTTCTTCAAACTTGCACAATTATGTTTCCGTAAAACTCTCAGACTCCTTGCTGGAGGCCATTGAGATCAGGAATCGCAAGGCAGCAGTGAACTGCGATGACGGGTGGCGCCTAATTGACTGAATCACGGCAAAGTTACTGGATTAAGTTACCACTCAGCACTGCGACCTATCACCTGAAATCTACTGAACTACCACCGGACTTGTCCACTTACACTTTACGCTATCATTATACATTCACTGTTCTATGGCTCTCTTACGTGTGGTTTCACACCCTCTCAGTCTGTATGAAATTTACATTACAAGTAAATCTAATACTTCTTGAATATCTACTTGTATAGTATTACCCAATGTGTGGACTTAATATGTGAATTTCAGGATGTTAATTGTACACTTTTTGTAGGTGTGAATGTCTCTAGTATTTTTCCCTCTGCTGAGTATATTGTGTTGGCGCTTGCCTCTTCTTTTGCATGGATGCCCTGATGATGCCCAATGGGCGAAATATTGGCATTAGGAAATCTATTCGATGCAGCTGAGAGCCTGTTATGTATGGTGTGCAATGGAGATATTTTCTGTTGCACAATTATGATGTAAAAATTGCAGATCAAGAAAAACATCATCAGTGTCAAGAAAACTGTTTGCCAGGGGTTGGCAAGTATGCTAACCTATAAAATTAGCTGCACGCTAACAAGGTATTCATGAGATGAACAGGGTCACAGTATACCCTGCTTTGGGTACAACTCTCTGCTGTTGGTCGTGTTGCACTGTTGGTCAGTGTAACGTATCGAACCCTGCTGCGTGATGTCAAACTCTGCAGGCGTTACAGCAGCACAGGTAGAGGATGTGCAGACTGTTACACACTCTCAGGGGGGGGGGGGGGGTACTCTTGGTTACACTCATGCTAAGAACATACACATCTCTTCTGCACACCAGTGACACTGGAATAGCGTGTCTGCATTGGAGACTGTTGTGTTGGTTGATGACCTCCATTTGCTACACCCTTTTAGAGATTTAGCTACCGTGAATCTTCAACATCTCGGCCATGTATTCCGATGGATGTTGGTGTTGGGTTTTCTTGTTATAATACTTGACGTATATAGGCGACAGGAGCATACCCAGATGCAGCCTACACAGGATATGACAGACAAATTAGCTGTCACTCTAACGCTCAATTGTAGTCAATGGTTCTCAAACTCACATAATAATATATCCCCTACAACTGAGCATCACATGCTTGGGAAAGAAAGCTGGGATACTCAGTGCATGTTGGCTATTGCTATCCACTGTTGATACAGGCACAACACCGGCTTACTTTGCCGCTCAGGAGGGCCAGGTGGAGACTCTCAAGTACCTGATTGTGGAGTGCGATGGCGATGCCAAGGCAAAGTCCAATGATGGCATGCAGCCAATCCATGCAGCAACGCAGAACGGCAAGGCAATGGCTGTCAAGGTATGACGCCGTCGTCATGGCTTGCACTTATTGCATACAGGATATGTACGAGTACAGCATGTGGAAATGTTATTTGGCGATGATCTCCATAGATGCAATCCTTAGATTTCTGCCATGCTTTTCTTGTGTGTGCGTGCGTGCGTGCGTGTGTGTGTGTGTGTATTTCTACAACTGACTGTGTTTAGTGGCTTGTCGGCAAGATGGGTCGCAGTCTGCTACAAGAGCGCACCAGTGATGGAGCAACTCCAGTGCACTTTGCCTCTGGTTAGTTGCCATACTATTATTCTCCTGAGTATAAACCACGCTTTAAACACTCACAATTCACCCAAACAAGTCAACGGGGTTTATACTCCGATGGTCAAGTGAACCGTGGAATACATGGTAGACATCCGTATTTCTTTCATTCAACATCATATGCCTCCACTGATGAGCTCAGGAGGAGCGAAACAGCTGTCTGGAGGGTCACTGTCAATATCAAACTATACACCAGAATTGTCCTCGCTGTGGTGATGGTGATGTGAGTGCAGAAGTTTGCAGCGTCAACGACCTTTGTGTAGTGATGGTGACTGGTCATAATATGTCTGTATTTCATTACCAAAAATTCCGAGTGAGGTTTATAGTAATTATTACTTTATCAGTTCTTGCTCCAGTCCGGCTTATACTCCGGGAAAAAAACGCTATGATTGTCATGAATGGTCGAAGTGCAAATTAGCTATATGTATGTGTGAAATGTTGATGCTGTGCAACTGTAATGCTTGTGGTTCATTAGTACAATCATGTTGTTACACTGTATCTTAGTCGACTTGCGGCCATTCGTAATCAGTTGACTCAATGAGACGGCACTGAGGCTAGTGAAATGCATGAGCCTGTAGAAATACAAAGTGGTTTGAAGAGATTACGGCTGGTATTCCAAGTCCTGCTTCAATGTACTCAGTCAATGTATTTCAGTGTGCTGGTCTCTGCTACCATACTCTAAGGATGTGATGCCCTCTTCTCCTGCATCTGGTGAAATTTGATATTAGTAGAAGTGTGTAGTGTAGTGGGTGGCTACAGTGAAGCATACGTATCTTGAGAAAGGTGTGTCACCACGTCAATGTCTATCTGTACTTGTGTTTGTATGATACTTGTCATGGCTGCTTAGCGGGAGGTCACACGGACATCTTGAAGTGGATGTTGAACTCACAGAATGGCTCTGCCCTGGCCAAGGTGTGTGATACGCTGCAGTCTACACCAATACACGACGCAGTGGACTACGGGTAAGTGCCAAGACACAGAGTTAGCATGCTACTCGTGTACCGTGTCATGTAGGGACGTCGGACGGTATTCTGCACTGTTGCAGCCATGCAGAGGCAAGACCCTGGGCCTCCCCCGGGGGCTTTTTTTGGAAAATTGGGCCCAAAAACCCCAAATTGTATTGGTGCAAAAACCTCAAGATCAGATTATTGGCGCGACTTTGGCGACACGTGTAGCACCAGGCCTGACATCCCTGCATGTACTTATATCCTCTGTACAATTATGTGCACTGCACGCTCCAAGCCGGCCAGCACAACACACTCCTGTTTGTCCTGAGAAAAGGCTAGAGAACGCAGGGTGCCCCCGGGGACTCAGAAGTTTCTGTCGTCTGTGTAGGATTTGCGATGAAGATAGTTGAGTTTCACAGTGCTTGATTCAATGTGGAGTTTGACAGTGCTTGATTCAATGTGGAGTTTCACAGTGCTTGATTCAATGTGGAGTTTCACAGTGCTTGATTCAATGTGGAGTTTCACAGTGCTTGATTCAATGTTTGCTTACACGTTTGCAGTTTTTAATATTTTCATTTATATTGATCGATGTTAACAGTGTTTCTACATGGTTTGCTGCTGGTGCTTCTATGCTACAGTCACTTGGAGTGTGTCAAGGTGCTGCTGAAGCACAATGCTGACCTCTTCGCTGTTGATGATGTAAGTTCAGGATTGTTGCTTGATTGTGTGCTCTGCTTCTACTAGTTTACCCTCGTGATGGATGAGTTATGCCCGAAAAATTGTGGCGAATCTATATACATGTAGAATGATGTTTGTAGCAAAAATACCCTGTGTGAGAATTTGACCCGAGAAAATTAATGCGAGGAAAAAAAGGTTTGTTATATCCAGGATACTTAAAACTTTGGTTTCATTGTATATTTAAAAAGCAGTTCAAGAACCCAATCATGAAAACAATTAATATAGTCACAATTGTGTCAGCTTCATGATGTCAGTCATAACAAAATAATCATGATGCAAAGATAGCTTTGCAATCAAACATCATTGGAGCATTGTGAGAACTAGCAGGATCCGTCTCCGTGGGAAATGGTGGGACTAGTCTCGGTAGGGAATGACGGGACTAGTCTCCATGGTAACGGGGGAATAGTCCCCATGGTAACGGGGGGACTAGCCTCCGTGGAAATGGCAGGAAGAGTTACCATGGGTGTGTTACCTGTCTGAGATTTTATGTTGATATAAATGTATTGTCCATGTTTGTTTCTGTCACTAGGACGGCACCAGTCCATACAGCCTGGCCATGTCACAAGGCGACACGGACATCAAGAAGTTTGTGGAGGACTACATGCGACAACGTCGTCTCAAGCCGCCGGTGACGCACAGTCTGTCGACCAGCCAGGAGTGGGAAGATCCGGCGTACCGGCCGGTCGGCAGCGCGCAAGCGTCTGTAAAGCACCCGTCCGTACCATCCACATCACAGAAGGACAGCCGTCCAGCGAGCATGGTGGAGGAGAGCAACAGCAGCGTGCAGACACTGGACTCCCACACTCAGCAGATCCGCGTTGCACAGCAGCAGGTCATGGCCCATCACCTGTCCACGGCACTGGAGGTGGTCAGCGAGCAGCAGTCGTCCGAAGGCAAGCGTCCACTCCGCCGTCGCAGTACCCGCGAGATCGTCACCGGCAACCCGAACAGCAAACACGGCGACACGGTGGCAGCAGGGCTTGCACTGAAGCCCAGCTCACCTGTGAAGCAGCACTCGGCACCTGCTGGACAACTCGACCTGGAGAGACCCATTGTGCACAAGATCGAGCCAACCAGTCCAATGACGGCGTTTGCCGAGGACGACACACCTAGCGAGGAGGACCAGCCCAATGACACCGGTATGAAGGCTAAGGTGTCCTCAGAAGACCGCCGTGATCCCGACGGTCAGGAGCACGGTGTTGACTCATGGTTCTCGGGATCACGTGAACGCGCCGGCACAGTCAGTGATCGCCCACCCATGGCACTGCCGCTCAGCACAAGCATTGACGATCCTGATGTGGCCGAGGGGGCAGAAGACGATGACGGTAACCCAAGGAAGAGACACATGCAGCACACCGCCTCGTGGTATTCGTCCGACGGCGAATCAACACTGGACAGATTTCAGCAGGCTAAGAACGCACCGGATAGTGGCCGGGCCGGTCGCAAGCTCAGGTCCAAGTCCAAGCGTCCACCTGCAATGCAGTACATGCCCATGTTCCAGCCGATGATGACACCTTACGGTCCGATGATGACACAGACGTTCATGCCCGTTCCAGTGCAGCAGACAATGCCACGCGCTGCAGCGGCGTCATCACGCAAGCAAGGCCGACACAGCCGCCGCAGCGAGGACAAGACTGCTGCTGCAGCGGGCGCCAACGGTGAACCAGGTCCCGAGGAGCAGTCATCCACGTTACGTATGTCCGGTTCTAAACCCTCTCTCGGTGTGGTGAGCGAGGAAGGTGAACTGGACGACGAGGGGGGCGAGTATGATGGAGAGTCAACGCTGACAAAGTCCGTCAAGGAGGAGGTGAGCGGCACAGGACCAAGTGCTTGTGTGTTAATGTGTTGTTGTGTTCCTCGATGGTCATTGTGTTAAATAACTTACTTTAGGCTATGTTTTTCTTTGCCTTTCTTGTTTGATGGTGGATGACGTTAATGTACCAGCATTGAAAAAATGGTGCCCTCTCTTGAATAGTGCCCCATCTGTGATGGACATTGACAAAACAGTGCCTAATCGCACGAGTACGGTATGTGTGGGGACTGTGCAGTCCTTGTCACATTTAGCCTAGCCTTGTCATGACTCGTGGTTGCCACCAGGTCTGAGCTGTCACAGCATTCCTGTTGGTAGTGCAGGCAGCACACTAGAGATGTTCTGTGTTGATGTAACTCCATGTGTGTACAGGACGCGGTGGAAAAACCGAAGAAGAAGTCTCGCCGAGGTGATGTGCGTGTGTCCACTCGGGGCAGCAGTCGACGGCGCCGCACCAGTACAACGCCGTACGGCGTGGTTCCGGCTGCAATGTCTGCACGACAAGCTGCAAAGGCCAAGTCCATGCCACGTGGAATGATGCCTGGAATGATGCCTGGAATGATGCCAGGGATGATGCCAGGGATGATGCCAGGGATGATGCCCGGGATGATGCCCCCGATGCCAGGGGGAAAAATGTCCGGATCGATGCCCAGAATGATGCCAGGTATGATGCCCGGGATGATGCCAGGGATGATGCCTGGAATGATGCCAGGGATGATGCCCGGGATGATGCCCCAGAAAGGTGGCAAAATGCCTGGCACAATGCCCGGGATGATGCCTGGGATGATGCCAGGTGCGATGCCAGGTATGATGCCCGGGATGATGCCCCCTAGAATGCCCACTGGCCAATCCGGGAAGGGTAAAAACGCCTCGCCCCAGAATGCCGGCATGAACATGCAGAATTATGGCATGTTTCCTATGATGCCGGGAATGCCTCAGATGATGCCAGGACAGGCTGGAGGCATGGGACAACAGCAGCACGCAGGCATGGCAATGTCCCCAGCACCGACACTACAGTCGCCCACAGTACCGCCGCGTCGTGCCAGCGTGTTCAATCGTATCCTCGGCCGCAATACCAACTCTGCGCCGGACCTGAGGGAAGGCCAAGGTGGTGAAGCGAGATATGACACGGTGGCGCATGATCTGGAAGACGAACAGGATCTCGATTACAAGGACGGTTCGACTATTGCGGAACTCATCATCAATACATCCGTTATCGGAATGGGTAAGTCAACCTGATGAGAGATTTGATGTTTGCGCGTCATAGTGATTGCGCTGGGCATAGTGATTGCGCTGGGCATAGTGATTGCGCTGGGCATAGTGATTGCGCTGGGCAGCCAGCAAATCTACTACATGTAGCTGTAAGGTTCGTAGCTACACTCATACACTGATGTAAGTTGATCCTGTGTGGTGTTCATCTTACTAGAAACGTGACATTGACGTTGAAATCCTATTCTAGGGTATCTCCAAAGGCAAATGGATGCCTACGAAATGATGTGATGTTATTTAGCTCCAAATTTTGAAAGATAGAAAAATGTCCCGGAGAAGGACCCAGCATACCGCCACTGCATGGCCGCAACAGTGCTGAATACCAGCCTTAGCTCTGCCTGGTGAAATTATAGTGGTTGGACAAATATAGTCAGGAATATTGCCACAGGGATACTTGTAAGCCAGACTACAGTTAAACCTAGTGTAAGCGACCTCTGTGTTTGGTGACCACCTGCTCTTAACCACCGTTTTTCCATGCACCGACAGTTCTACGCAGACACTGTGGGACCTGGTTCTAAAGACCACCTGGCTTTAACGACCGTGTTTGTTTGCACCGTGGGGTGGTCGCTTACACCAGGTGTTCCTGTGCTTCTACAGTGTTACTCGATGTAAGCAAAATTTCCACCCAGCGGCTTATACCGGTAATATCCATCTTTGTGCGCAGGAATACGAGCTGGAATATGACCTTTCCTCTCAGAGGGAAAGGAGCAGAGCCTGGTTTTATCCTAGTGAAATACAGGATTTACGTGTGTGTGTGTGTGTGTGTGTGTGTGTGTGTGTGTGTGTGTGTGTGTGTGTGTGTGTGTGTGTGTGTGTGTGTGCGTGTGAATGTGTGTGTGAATGTGTGCGTGTGAATGTGTGCGTGTGTGTTTGTATGTGTGTGCTTGCATGCGTGCGTGTGCATATACAAGTTGATACTCATAACGTTAAGTGCATGTACCTACCTCTGTTCTATATGCAGGAATTGTTGCTGACATTCCGAAGCACAAGAGTCTGCGCAATGCACTTTCCAGCAGCAACTTCATCATGGCCAAAAAGCAGTCGATTGCCGCCTCATCGGGCCTTGGTGAGCCAGTCAGCTTGGATGAGGCACGGCGTATGACGGAAGGTAAACTATGCACTTGTTACCTTGTGTCTCTTTGTGTGCAACTTACCTAGACTAGGGTAGGGGAGCTAGAGATACAACTTACCTAGACTAGGGTAGGGGAGCTAGAGATACAACTTACCTAGACTAGGGTAGGGGAGCTAGAGATACAACTTACCTAGACTAGGGTAGGGGAGCTAGAGATACAACTTACCTAGACTAGGGTAGGGGAGCTAGAGATACAACTTACCTAGACTAGGGTAGGGGAGCTAGAGATACAACTTACCTAGACTAGGGTAGGGGAGCTAGAGATACAGAAAGTAGTGATCACATTAAATTTTATCCGATTTTACCATTGCCATAGCGTCATCATGTATTTCAATTGTCCATAGTTACAAGTGAGGAAGACTGGCGTACTCGTGTATGAGTGAGTTCAGTCGGAATTCTCTCTCTCTCTCTCTCTCTCTCTCTCTCTCTATCTATCTATCTATCTCTCTGTCTCTGTCTCTGTCTGTCTACTTGGATCTCATTGTGGTGTTGATTGACCTTTCTCATTGCCCCACAGAGACCCAATCCAGCACGTATGAGGAGCCTGCAAAGCTGACACGGCCACGACCACTTGGTGATAGCAAGCCAAAGTCTAAACCATTCCAGAAGCTGTCAAAGAAGCTGAGTTTCCGCCGCGGCGGCGGCAGCGTGCCCGACCTGGATGACTCGCGACCGTCCAGCGCCTGGGAGTATGACCAGCACATGGAGAAACGTGCCGGAGAGAACTGGATGAGCGGAGACATGCCTGAAGGGCTAGCCGCCCTATCACCATCTGATGCCAGGCCTGCCAAGCAAGTCAAAGAAAGCCGGAAGAAGAAGGCCTCAACCACTGCACCGCCGCCTGCTGCTGTTCCCAGTGCCGGAGGGCTACAGGTTGGACGCAAGACCAGCGGCAGTGCATCCATGCTGGGAATATTCGCCGGCGGTGGAGGACAGCCCGTCAATCCTTACCACCTCAACAGCTCGGCTGACAAAGGCGGTCTGGACACCAGCCTGTTTGAGGAGAAGAAACCTGAAGCACAGGTCAGTTGTCTGTTGTCATTGATGGCTGGACGTGTTGTTTTGGATTGTAAATGTGTGGACCATGCATACTCTCATCAACCACCATACCGTAGCTGCACTCTCCAGCCGACCTTCACACGTGGTGCTTGTGATAAGTGATGAGAAATCTGCACAGGGCCGAATGCTGCTGTGTACCCCTTCGTGTAGGACCATACATACCATGCGTACCTTGTATTTAAAGAGGACTGAACCATAGTGCTATATAGTGCTATGCAGTGCTATATAGTGCTATATAGTGCTATACAGTGCTATATAGTGCTATACAGTGCTATATAGTGCTTTATCACTCTCTTATTATTGACCCCCACAGAAACTTGTGATCTCTAAGCGGTCAAATATCAGCATATATTAGAGAGGTTTTGCATTCCGAATTTCGGAATGATTTTCGACTGTGCTTTTCCGAAAAAAGCGCGTTCCGAAAAACGGTATTTTCAGTGTTTTGCATTCCGAAAATCTGATTCGACTTCGTTTCCAAGGGTTGCCATGCAAAACAAAATGGAGAGCGTCGAAGGGGTTGAGCAGGATCAAATCCATGTGCGCAGGTCAAACTGAATTATTTGGGTGCGGTTCGAAGACGAGGACGGACTGATGGTGGACCAAGTGATCCAACAGCTGAAGACGAGGTTGGCGAACTACTGTCTTGTACTGTCAGTAGGCTTCATGGCAAAGGAAGATAGAGTGTGAAGGAGTGTGAGAAGATTAGTCAACATGGCGAGATCAGCGAGAGCAGCAGAACCAGCAAAAATCAAAACTACATACGTGGAGAATTTTTCAAATAATCGAGAGCAGCAGAAAGCAAAAATACAAACATGAAAAATACACTTTTTTGTATTCAAATATGCACTCCCAAACATGAAAGAGCCGAAAATACATTTTCGGAAAACCATGCACTTTCGCCACCACACTTCCGAAAGTTCGACTACTTTTTCGACTGCTGCCGCCGCATTCCGAAAATAATTCCGAAATTCGGAATGCAAAACCTCTCTATTGACCGCTTATATTGACCACTTATTATTGACCACTTAGCCTGAGGACTTAGAACTTTTTCCTCAACTTTAGAAAAAAATCAGAACTGAAAGAAGAAAAATCTGAAGCCAAATGCTGGGATTTGAACCCAAACTGTCAGATTCTCAGTCAAAGAACTTGGGGAACATACTACAAGAGACAACTGAAAACTTTGGTTTGCACAGAAGTAATGTCCAATGTAAACGGCATATGTACATACTATTATACTATTACAATAGTATTCCTTTCTTCCTATAGCAAAGCAAAAACAGTTTTATGTATGCTATGTCGTGATAAATCTATTATTGCCCTCATAATTGGTCAATATATGAAATATAGACCTCGTAAAAGACCTCGGGGGACCTCGGTCTTTTACTCGTTCTATATTTCATATATTGACCTCTTTAATCGTGCAATAATAGATACATATAGTGCTATATAGTGCTATACAGTGCTATATAGTGCTTTATAGTGCTTGGACATAGTGCTATATAGTGCTATGTCCAAGAACTGTGAGCAAGGAATAACAGCCATGATGTGTGCTGCTGAAAGCTACATTTTGCATTTTGGGTCTTTCAGTTCTGTGAACTGCCACAATTGACCGGTCATGAAGGAGATAGTTCTAGAACATGAGGTCATGGTGTGTATACAAGAGGGGGTGGGGTGATACAGTTTATGCCTTAACGCCCTTCTGAATACTGAGACATGTCTGACATGGAGCAACTGGGAAAGTGATAGCCTGTGTAAGGAGGTGTCCTGGATATGTGCAGTTTACTTCTCCTTCTCTAGCCAGATCAGATCAGCTCAGTGATACATGTGGTGCTACCTACCCACCGCAGCATTCACGTTATATTGACAAATATCACAGTTTGTACCACACGTGTACCACACCTGCAGCCTAACACCTGCAGCCTAACACAAGGCGACGTTAGCATACCTCACCTTCTTAAACTCACGCTCTTGCACACTGCCGATGTCTTATAGTCTGCTAGCAAAGCAAAGCTCGGTGTTTATTTTGCTCTTGTGGAGCAGTTGAGCAGGGCTCGGCACACGGCACTGTGGACATCAAAGTGTATAGTCATATGTAGAGTTATTTTCTGCTAGGATTGCCAGAATACCAGCAGGAAAATAGTGTGTGTTTTGTTGTTTCTTGCATTGCTGAGCATCAATGTTGAAATGTTGACCGTGTCCTTTGCCCGGTGTGAATTTCTCTCTCTTTTGCTTACAACAGAAACCCGAGTATCAGAATACTGGAGCACCACACGCTCCTAAACCTGACTATCAGAATGCTTCAGAGCAAACCTCAGCAGCACCACCTCCGCCAGGTCCGGCACCTCCACCTCCGTTCGTTGAAGAACCGAAAACGGAGGACGCAGAGAAAGCAGCCGACGAAGAAAAGGCGACCGGCAAGTCTAGAGTCCCGCGGTCATCTCTCAGTGACCTTTACGCAAAACCATCAATGAAGGGCTCCCCTACCGGTGCAGCTGCTGCTCCCATGAATGCACAGCGCAAGGTATCTCCCAGTGCGTATTCTAAACCCATGCCTAAAGCCCTGCGCCAGGTTGCAAAGATAAAGGACAACGAAGGCCAAGCATCGGTGAGTACGGTGGCCAGTACGGCTAAGGCCAGGCAGCATATCGACCGTGTGGTGAAGACTGATGTGACGGCCATGCTCACCGACAGTGGTGAGGATGGGTCTGAGGTAAGGACATGCCTGGGGACAGTCAGTGCTGTGTGACACATAATCTGATGAGACATGCCTGTACTCTTGCTTTGTGAGGTCATTGTCTGGAGTGCAGGTGTATTGATCCACTCTGACTCAAGTATGTTAGGACAAAGACTACCTTGGATGTTAGGACAAAGACTACCTTGGATGTTAGGACAAAGACTACCTTGGATGTTAGGACAAAGACTACCTTGGATGTTAGGACAAAGACTACCTTGGATGTTAGGACAAAGACTACCTTGGATGTTAGGTGCACATTCCTGCTACCCACGTGGATACTTCAGTTTTCTTATCAGATTTCTACTGTACATGTGAAAGGCTAGAGCATGCAGAGTATGGTTAGCTGACATGGAACACAACTACAAAGAGTAGAGCATGGTTAGCTGACATGAACACAAGAAAACAATACCGGTCCTGCTTTGTCCATGTTTGCTGCTAGTTTTCATTCGCCCGCTCTGCAACTCAAGACGCGGGCGCTAGCAAGGCGGACGCGTCAGCTTCCGCCGTGCCGTCCATAGATGCCGACGATCCGTTTGGTCTGTCTGAGCTTGCCCTCGCTCTGCAGCTTGCAGGAGAGGCCGAGTACTGGAAGGAGTCGTTGTCCTTTGAACCGCGTAAGTAGACGACCATATTATAATAATTGTGTATTGCTAGTTTGGTTACCCTGCGTAGTGCCCTGCTAATTCGGTTGCCCTGCGTAGTGCCCTGCGTAGTGCCCTACGTAGTGCCTTGTTAGAGCCACACCACCCTTTGTAGTACATAGTTCGTTCCGGCAGACCAGCCTGGCTATTGCACTGTCAGGTAGTGCAGCCTGCATGGTGTGTAGTCAGGTAGTGCAGTCTGCATAGTGTATTGTACTGTCAGGTAGTGCAGTCTGCATAACCTGTTGTGCGGCATACCAGTATGCATAGTGTATTGTGCGGGGGGGGGGGGGACTGTGTAGAAAGCGAGGTGCGGCATACACTAGACATGGTTAGCATTTTACCGTTCACGCTATTTTCGATGGTCGACGTGTAGAGGGCGAGTCTACTTTTGTGTGTTTTCGAGACACGGTTAGCAGGTCGGCTTCTGAGTCCTGACTCCTGACGCAATGATCGACGTGTCACGTAACCCTAGTTGGAGTCTTACCGTTTCGTTATCCCGCTAAACAGAGCTTTCTATCGTCGAAACGGTACCAAACCGACGGTATTTTGGGTGTTGGGTACGAGTACCGTTGGCTCTAGCGCGTGAACGGTAAAATGCCATGTCTAAACACACAAAAAATGGTACAGGCCGACCGTCGAAAATAGCGTGAACGGTAAAATGCTAACCGTGTCTACTATCACCTGCCAAGTGCTATGCGTTCTTGTATATGCCTAGCGTGCGACGTTGGCCGTCTACAGAGCTCCTAGTATTTAGCGTATTCACATGTGGTGTGACTGCCAAGCCAACACCATCCACACAGTACTGCACAGTCTACATGGTCTCCATACTCACTCACTGCTCACTCACTCCATGCTCACTCACTGCTCACTCCACGCTCACTCACTGCTCACTCACTGCTCACTCCATGCTCACTCCATACTCACTCACTGCTCACTCACTCCATACTCACTCACTGCTCACTCACTGCTCACTCCATGCTTACTCACTCCATGCTCACTCACTGCTCACTCCACGCTCACTCACTGCTCACTCACTGCTCACTCCATGCTCACTCCATGCTCACTCCATACTCACTCACTGCTCACTCACTCCATGCTCACTCACTGCTCACTCACTGCTCACTCACTGCTCACTCCATGCTCACTCCATACTCACTCACTGCTCACTCACTCACTGCTCACTCACTGCTCACTCCATGCTCACTCACTCCGTGCTCACTCACTGCTCACTCCACGCTCACTCACTGCTCACTCCATACTCACTCACTGCTCACTCACTCCATACTCACTGCTCACTCACTGTTCACTCACTGCTCACTCCATGCTCACTCCATGCTCACTCACTGCTCACTCCATGCTCACTCACTGCTCACTCCATGCTCACTCCATGCTCACTCACTGCTCACTCACTGCTCACTCCATGCTCACTCACTCCATGCTCACTCACTGCTCACTCCACGCTCACTCACTGCTCACTCCACGCTCACTCACTGCTCACTCACTGCTCACTCCATGCTCACTCACTGCTCACTCCATGCTCACTCACTGCTCACTCCATGCTCACTCACTCCATGCTCACTCACTGCTCACTCCACGCTCACTCACTGCTCACTCCATGCTCACTCACTGCTCACTCACTGAGTAGGTATGGAATAAGTTTACTCAGCTTCTCCCTGTCTTGTGCATGTGTGCTGGCTGTATTGCGTTTCAGAAACTGATGGTAAACCTCAGGCAGAGTTCAAGAGCTCCGCAGCAGTGGAAGCGAGTGCCGCAGCCGCTGTTGTCTACGACGATTCCCTACTGGACGCGCGTAAGAAATCTGAGCGCAGCAAGGCGCAGCCATCGCAGGGTGTGCTTGGCTCATCCAAGGCAGGAGGCGGCGGTGGACCACCTCCACCTCCTGCGCCAGCACCCGCCCCTCTCGTCGTCACGGCAACACCGGCAACAGCATCCGATGACGTCATGGCAACCATAGCAGCGCTGAGCAACTTTGGCGAGTCTCCGCCAAGCTCACCACAACCCAGCGTTCCACAGCGCAACTCCAGCATGCCCTACGCAGAGAAGAAGATTGTGAAGGGCCAGCCAAAGTCCAGCTGGATCAACGCGTCCAACTCATCACGACTCGCACCCAGTAAGGCATCACCGTTCGCACCAGCGTCCACCAAGTCAGCAATGGTCAAGGTGGCCACCACTGCGCCAGCACCAAAGCTGACCATTGTATCGGATGGTAGTGGTGCTCCAACTGCTCCACCACCACCCCCTGCTGCTGCTGGTATCGGCAGGGGCAATGCGGCCGGTAGCTCGGCACTCAGTGTTCCTGACGTTAGCGCACAGCCAGGTACACCCGGTGCTGCGCGCAAGATGTGGAAACAGATGGTGCAGAAGAAACCCTCAGATATGGCCACAGTAGCGGTACAAGCTAAGGATACTGCCAAGAGCACACCACCTCCACCACCGCCAGTATCGGTACCAGCGCCGGCCGCCGTGAATGGGAGGAAGCCCTCGGTAAGAAGTTGTTTGTACCTATGTTTTGTGTGATCACATCTACACAGGATGCATGTAGGGTTTTGAACCGGTTTGACTGTACTCTGCCTAGTGCTGTTGCTGCTGCTGCTCAGTGCTGTTGCTGCTGCTGCTCAGTGCTGTTGCTGCTGCTGCTCAGTGCTGTTGCTGCTGCTGCTACTGCTACTGCTGCTGCTGCTGCTGCTGCTGGTGCTGCTGCTGGTGGTGGTGCTGCTGCTGGTGGTGCTGTTGCTGGTGGTGGTGCTGCTGCTGTTGCTGTTGCTGCTGCTGCTTCTGCTCAGTGGAATCTGATCTCATGAGTACTCGTAGGCTGATGTGCTGCACTGTACAGTGCAGCAGTGTACAGGCCAATGTCGGGGCAGTGTACAGTGTACAGTGTACAGTGTACAGTGTACAGGCCAATGTCAGCAGGTATTGTGCTGTACACTGTGCCCTATTGCAGTAGTGAACTGCTCAGTGCAGCAGGCAGGTCTTGTGCTGTGCAGTGCTTGGGATTTAGGGATTTAGGCAGTGTGTGTGTGTGTGTGTGTGCTCGCGAGTGTGTGCGTGTGTGTGCGCTCGCATGCATGAGTGTGTGTGTGTGCTCGCGTGTGTGCGTGTGTGGGTGCGATGCATGAGTGCGTGTGTGTGTGCGTGTGTGCGTGTGAGTCAAGGCTAGGGCTGCATACACTTTGACCCTGATACTGATACTTGCTTACTTTACAAAGGCAGGTTTCGTTGAGCAAAATTGGAGGAGCATTTTGGCTGGCAGCCTACTTGGGGTTATGGAGTAAAACTGTCGAATTTCGGCTTTCGGGATAGAATAATCTACCACTATGGTCACGTCACGCTGTTATGCTGATTGCTAAGCTTGTGAGTTACGAGATCATGTGGAAGTGCTTGATAGTGAAGTGAGAGTTTGGAGGTTAACGTCAATGGCTACTTTCATATTTTTGTACAAACTGACAATGCACTGTGTTCCCCCGAATTCCCTGCCTGGCTTGCCTCATCCACTGTTCTGTGTGTATGTATGTCATTATTGCAGACGAGCATTGTTGCTAGCGCTGCATCATCAGTGACTGCCAATCCACCTCGCACATCAAAGATCTCGCAGATGAACTCTAAGCCACCGGACCCGCCGTCCGAGGCTAGTGTTAATGACGAGCTGGCCAAGGTGTTTGAGCGGCGGCGCAACAAGGTAGCTCAGAACGCTTTCCTCAACGAATACAAGAAAGCGGCGGTATAAGAATAACGCCGTTGGTTACGCCAGAGAGTTTCTATAAATATTGTAGAATGAGAACTTGGCACTGTGTGGTTGTATTTTGAAAAATAATTGTTGAGCAATGAACTGTGCATATTGAGATCATTATGAGAATTTCCAGGATGTTTTCAAAACACTATGAATATACTGTACACGGTTTGCACACTCATACTACATGCTACTGCATTATAGTAGTGTCAATATACATATTCACTGCTTGCTTATAGCACACGTCGTCACACATACTACTTACAGCACTGCTTGCTTATAAAATTCTATGTTTTTATCACACATGTACTGCGGTTTCTAAATAAGCTGCAAACAAGAATATGTACATCAAGTACATCACTACTTACTTCTTCACCACCGGACAATTATTTTATATACATGGGGATCATTGAAGTGGCCTCCTTGGATAATGAGTTTGTTTCCATTGGGCTAAAACAACCTTGCTGCGTGGTCGCTAGACACAGTCTCCTTCAAAACAATCCTCTAGACAATCCTCTAGACGGCGGGGTGTGGAACATTTGCATAACAAACATCGGCGGAACTGGAAGAGAGAAACGCTGGGTGAGCAGTTGTTCTTCCAGGACACACATATTCATTGCTCGTTAACAAACTGAAAATTGCCAACTGAATCTGTACACAGCCGTCAGTTGACAATGATCCTAATCATGGCATCCGCCTGTAGTTCCGCACGTAACGGTATGTTATCTGCTGGTCGTCATCTCCACACACGGCACGTATTGTCCTTGCTGGATGTCAGAATCCGGTCGCCATCATAGCTGAACGCCACTGAGAACACTTCATCGGTGTGCCCTTCCAGTACCTGTGTGTGTGTGTGCGTGTGTGTGTGTGTATGTGTGTGTGTATGTGTGTGTGTTTGCAAGTGTGTGCATATGAATGCATGTGAATGAGAGGCACACAAGCAGGCAGGAATACAGACCAGGCATACACAGAGAATGGGTTAGAATGTGACATGCAGCATTTAGAAAAAAATGCATAGCAACGTCCAACTATTTTAATACCATGATCATGAACACAGATAATATAACCACAGTTTCACACGTGGCAAAGACTGCCCTCATACCCGGCCCTTACCTGTGAGCATGAACCATCTGATAGATCCCACACACGCGCAGTTTTATCAATGGAAGCTGAGAGTACTCGTGTTCCTTGAGGGTTGAACACCACCTGATTAACACAATGACAACGACGACGACAGCAACAACAACAACAACCAACCATGAGAATAAAAATTTGAAAACCACGACAACAGCAGCAGAAACAACATACTGTAAAGCTGTAAAATTTCAGTGGAGATTTATTTTCGGTAACTTCGGTGCAGGTAATTTTTACCTAAAATAAAATGTAGGGCTCAAACGGTTAGTCCGATTAACCGGTTGCAGACCGGTTACGAAGAATTAACGGTTAACCGATAAAGATACCGGTTACGCAGTAACTTTTCAGTCAATTTTTCAAGTATCACGTCGTTGCAAAGTATGCACTTTCGCAGGCTGTCGCACGCGTACGCAATTTCTGGGCTGTCAACTCGGTCATATCTGGTCTCTTGGTGTGAGAGTATGTATGAATGAGCATGCAAGAAAATGCACATGTGTGCGTAGTATTGAATAGGGTACATTTTTGAATGAGTATAGTCAAATATACGGTTAAAAAAGAGTCCGCAGGATTGCCGCGGCTTATAGGTTATAGCCGTTAAACCGACCGTTAGCTTAGCAGTTAACCGTTAGGGGTAAAACCGTGACCGTTTGAGCCCTAATAAAATGCGACTTAACATTCACCAAACCTACGCCACACAGTGTGCAAAATGCATTTTTGGATCTGGAAAACTGGTTTACCGAAATCTTCCTGCTACCGAACCGTTGATTTTGGGTAATAACGATAATAGTAGGGAGGTTTCGCTCTACGGAATTACGTATGAAAATAACGTATGAACTGCATGGAATTTTCATACGTAAAAATCAGAGCTGTTGGGTTTTGCTCTACGTGATTTCTCAACGACTAGTCGACTGCTAATGCGTTGTTGCTTTTGAGACGCGTTGGCTGCATGCGCCCACTGCATGCACCATGAACCGAAACCGCATTTTCCATTATATTTTGCACGTGGTGTACGGTGTGTGTACCTTGTGTTTCGCGCGGCTTGAATGTTGCCATTGACAAATGCGGAAAATGCGAAAAAAATATTTCAAAAAGTCCTGCAGAGGACCCAACGTAGGAAAGAGCTTTCCTACAGAAATCCGTAGAGAGATTTACGTATGAAAGTTGCCCTCGCTCCCCGGGGCGTACGACAGACGGATTTTCATACGTCATTACGTAGAGCGAAACCTCCCTAATATTATTACACCAGGGAAAATTCCCGTTTTTACTGAGTAGAGAGCATGGATGCGATTGTGGCACTGGGATGACAAAACACCATGTGCCCAACTGCCACATCCGCTGTCACAAACAGGACTAGTACCAGCACCAACAACGGGAAACAGTGAGGGTAATACAAGAAGTCCATAGACATGTGAAATACATGAAGTAAGTATATGCACACATACACCCACTGGCACACAATGGCACCCACAGGCACACTTCCACGCACGAACACTGTCATGAAATGGCTTAATTAGCTCACCTTTCCTACTTCTTTTCCATGGCCCTCCAGGACATCTGTACATTCACCGGTCTGGATGTCGTACAAACGAACAGTAGCTACATAAACAGCACAGCACAAACACAAACAAAGTACACGTTATTGAATAGGATACCGATAGGTGAGCAGTTTCTGAGAATATCTGCACAAGGCAGAGAGAGAGAGAGAGAGAGAGAGAGAGAGAGAGAGAGAGAGAGAGAGAGAGAGAGAGAGAGAGAGAGAGAGAGAGAGAGAGAGAGAGAGAGAGAGAGAGAGAGAGAGAGAGAGAGAGACAGAGAGAGAGAGAGATAGAGAGAGAAAGAGAGAGAAAGAGATAGAGAGAGAAAGAGAGAGAGAGAGAGAGAGAGAGAGAGAGAGAGAGAGAGAGAGAGAGAGAGAGAGAGAGAGAGAGAGAGAGAGAGAGAGAGAGAGA